GTTCTGTGACCCAAAGTCAGCTGACCGCAGGCTATCGCCCACTCTCAGCTGAGGAAGCTGAGGAATATTGTCAGGCTCCACCCTGCTACGTGATAGACATCTGGCTCTGCTTCTTAGCGTGCAGCTGAGATCTGGCGATCGCTGCGATTGCCCCCCTCTCCAGCCCTACGCTCAGTTCTTGGTGTTAAAAGCATTTTGGGACGGCTGCCGCATCAAATGTAGCATCATCATGCCTAGAGGCGAGTATGGATGTCTATTTTTTTTGCAAATCCATACTTCTCCTTTAATAGATAAGTGAACTTTCACTATTAATCTTGTATTGATCCCAACAACCACTACGAGAAGAAAACATGAAGAGATCCATTTACTAGTGAGAATTTCATTATCAAGCAGCCCAATCTACCACATCCTATGCTGTTTATGGTGTTCTGTTAAGCTGTCCACAGAGGAGTTCATTTTTTTTTTTTTTTTATTGTTGTTGACCTGATTTACCCCATCCTCATATTTGATGTGGATGAGGGAACCCTCCCTACTTTGTCATTGTTTTCTGACAGTGGGAGGATTCCCCTGCCATCAAAACACACTGATCAGTGCTGCAGGCTATAGCCTTCAGCGCTAATCAAAAGGAAATTTCCAGCAGGGCATTTGTACAGAAGTCGATTGGTAGATCGATCCATGTATGGAGACAGTGGTTGTACAGAAGTCAAAGTTTGGCCAGTCCCTGCTGAACTGGACAAATGTCGATCCATGTATTTGCAGCTTTAAAGGCCAGGCACTGGTTGGAAAATCTGCTTTGTGTGAGCATCTTGTTCAGAGCAAATGTACTGTAGATAGGCAGCCAGGGGAGAAACTTGGAGAGCACCAGGAACATGCATTAACACTGGATTTTAACATGAACCCCCTGAGGGGGTTTATACAAGATGCAAACCTCATATTGCATCATGGCAGCTCTTTTTTTTTTTTTTTTTTTTTTTTTTTTTTTTTTTTTGGAGAGAGGTTTATCGTAAAGTGTTACTAAACCCACAGCAGTACAATCAGTCTGTAGATGCAGTAAAGCATGCTTGTTATACTCACTTTGGAACCTAAGGGGTTAATCCTCCCATTGTGTAAAAAGACTGTTTTGATCCTGACTTCTCTGATCTTCCCCTTCTTCCTTGTTCCCCCTTTTATCTCCTGATCAAACATATTGTGTGGAGTCACTCTGCACATGCTCAGTTTGGTGTGTATTGCTAGAGAGGTTTGTTTTTTTTTCTTGGGAGAGTGCATGTGATCAGCACAGGGCCAATAAGCACTGTCCAGACCGAGGTCAGGGGTTCTGCATCCTCCTAGGGCAGAATGAAAACTCCTCCTACAAGCTTTAACCAGTGCTTGCTGGACACTGATAGAAGTCACAAGTCTGCTATATACTGCTGATGAGAAAAGGTATTTAGCAGGTTATATTTACTACAATAATTGCATTTCCATGTTTTGTGTACTGTGGGAGACCAGACTGCAGGGTCCGGGAGACCAGATACAGTGACTGCAGGGTCCGGGGAGACCAGATATAGTGAATGCAGGGTCCGGGGAGACCAGATATAGTGAATGCAGGGTCCGGGGAGACGGATATAGTGAATGCAGGGTCCGGGGAGAGCGGATATAGTGAATGCAGGGTCCGGGAAGAGCGGATATAGTGAATGCAGGGTCCGGGGAGACGGATATAGTGAATGCAGGGTCCGGGGAGAGTGGATACAGTGACTGCAGGGTCCAGGGAGACCAGATACAGTGAATGCAGGGTCCGGGGAGACCGGATACAGTGACTGCAGGGTCCAGGGAGACTGGATACAGTGACTGCAGGGTCCGGGGAGACCGGATACAGGGTGGGGAGACCGGATGCAGTGGCTGCAGGGGTCAGGGTTTAGTAACACTGATTTGATGTACACTTTATAATCAGCCGTAGTTTTATTTAAAAGTTCAGCCCTGCAACAGGCATTTGATGTCTCGCAAACAGAAACTTGTACCACTAAGCAGAATATTATGTTTGTTGTATTGCTCATGCTCTATGGACATTTGCAGCATTTCCGCTTACTTTAAGTGAGTCTGACACAAGCCTGTGTTTTTCCCGGGTATACATAACGGCTATGGATGTTTTTGTCCTGTACAGACCAGGGACTGCAATAGACGGGATCTTCTGCTAGTTGGCAGTCAAATCTCAGTTATTAAATCTCTTCCCCTTTTTTTGAGCATTGCAATGAGCAGACTCAGTTAGCATCAGCGTTCTTTCAGCCACATAACCGGAAGATCCATTTTGACCAATTTTAGTTTGGTTTGGAGAATCTACAGAAATGGACAAACTTTAGGGTACCTGCTAATGTGTTCTATGTCTGGGTGGTCATATATGACTTTAGTACGGAAGTGATGTAACAAATTCGAGCACCATCACGTTGTGTGTTAACTAGGAGGCAATTGTTTGTGACTTGACTACGCCTATAGTAATTTAGCAGATTCAGCTTCACTAATAAAAACAAAATAAGTGTACCTATCTTAATAAATAAGGTGCAGTAGGTCAGTGTACTGATTTGATTTGAGAAGGTGGCAGATTCAGTATCCGTGCAGTCCAACTTGAGACCCCCCCCCCCCCCATGATGCTGCCATGCCCCTAATGATCCCCATGTCTGTGCTCACCGCACTCTTGATCTGTCAATGAAACAATCAGGAAAGGGTAAAGACCTCCCTTTAGAGTACTTCAAAAATAAGAACCAAGTCTGGCAAAATTGTGCTAATATTGGTTGAAAGCGTAATAATTCCTTGGCTCTTTTGAGCTAAAAGGGATGAATAAAAACAGATTTTTTTTTTTTTTTAAATGTTAGTTTTTATAAAGGTAATACCAAATTTGGAAAGGTTCCAGTAACTGGACATTGAAACATTGCCAAAAATATGGGTATATGGTCCCAGGTTACACATCATATTGCTGTAAAGCTTTGTGAATGACATCTGCTTAATCCTGTTGTCCTTTCAGTCCCACATCCAACCACTGTCCAAATCTTGTAGACTGACCCTCTTGATTTAAATTTGTTTTGTTCTGTATTGTCTCCCTTTTATATTGTGAAGTTATGCGCAAACTGTTGACGCTATATAAATCCTGTATTATAAAAATAATAATTTGGGTAGAAGACTTGACCCTTGAGACGTGTTGGGTATCCTGCATTTTGAACAGGTCTTCTAAATTCACATTTATATCCCACGGATGTGCATTGTACCTCACAAAGTACATGTCTGTATCCAGCTCCTCTGTTACACTATGATGATCAACAGCTTGGCTGTTATCGCACCACCTTCAGAATATCAAGACCTTCCTGTGTCCTTCAGTGAACTCGGAGAAGTGGCTTTTACAGTGAGCACAAAAAAATATGGTTTGATCTTATATTCATTGAAGGGCACATGGAGATCTTGATTGATCTCCTGAAGGTGATGCCATAACCCTTCTACGTTCATTGAAGGACACAACGGAGATCTTGATCTCCTGAAGGTGATGCCATAACCCTTCTACGTTCATTGAAGGGCACAACGGAGATCTTGATCTCTGAAGGTGATGCCATAACCCTTCTACGTTCATTGAAGGACACAACGGAGATCTTGATCTCCTGAAGGTGATGCCATACCCTTCTACGTTCATTGAAGGGCACAACGGAGATCTTGATCTCCTGAAGGTGATGCCATAACCCTTCTACATTCATTGAAGGGCACAACGGAGATCTTGATCTTCTGAAGGTGATGCCATAACCCTTCTACGTTCATTGAAGGACACAACCGAGATCTTGATCTCCTGAAGGTGATGCCATAACCCTTCTACGTTCATTGAAGGACACAACGGAGATCTTGATCTCCTGAAGGTGATGCCATAACCCTTCTACGTTCATTGAAGGACACAACAGAGATCTTTATCTCCTGAAGGTGATGCCATAACCCTTCTACGTTCATTGAAATACACACAGATCTTGATCTTCTGAGGTCCATAACCCTTCTACGTTCATCATGAAGGAAGGTGATGCCATAACCCTTCTACGTTCATGATGCCTTGATCTCCTGAAGGTGATGCCATAACCCTTCTACGTTCATTGAAGGACACAGCGGAGATCTTGTTCTCTGACTATTGGGTTATGACATCACCCTCAGAAGATCAAGATCCCTGCTGTGTCAATGAGCTCTGAGAAAAGGTTTTTATGAGTAGTACAAATAAAAACCCATTTTCTCTTCCATTCATTGAAGGACACAATGGAGATATTGATCTCCTGAAGGTGGTGCTATAACCCAGTGGTCAGAGATCAAGATCTCCACTGTGTCCTTCAATGTACTCCGAGAAAGGGATTTTATGATGAGTAAAAAAATCCAATTATTTTTTTTTTTTGTGTATGCTACTTGCTCTGTTCTTGCCCTGCTTTTGAGTGTTCCCACTTACCCTAATGCATTCTTCACAGTAAAAAGTACACACGTTTGCAAGCGAGAATAGGACCCACAGACCACAACTAGTGTGAAGTCAGATGCTGAGATCTCTCTTCTAGAGTCCCTGAATGTTATAGGGGATTTTCTAGGTGGATGAACTCTCTGAAATCTATTAAAACCTGAAATATCAGTTTATGGTGGACTGACCCTTTAAACAACAATTGCCACATGGCTGGTGTGTGTTTTACTTAATAGTGACCTTGTCAGATTGATGACTTTGCAGAGTGTAAACATGTTGTTTCTCTGTATTGTGAACCAAGAATGTGTCAGCTTGTCACACTAATGACTCTGAGCACAGGCTGACCTCACTGAATCCATTAGACACTTTTGCTGGAGGACAAAATATGTTATTTCTTTTCAGCTGGTAGTCTTTTTATATTGATTTTAATACATGTTAAGCATCACTTTTTTGTTAAAGTGAAACTGCTTGATATCAAATGAACATGCACTATTGTGTTTTTAAAGGGATGTTACTATTTGCTGGCAAAAAATTAATTCATCCTTTTGTGTTTTTGTTTTAGCAAACACACATCTACTTGACGGCACTTTGGGAATGTCTGCTTGGGGCTCTTACATCGTTTTCATCATGGCCACCTTGATGATTGGACTGTTTCTTGGTTTGGTACGACATGCATCTATTATTACTGAGCAATACAGGTGCATTAAATATTATGTCATTCATCTTACACATCATCATAATGGGGCAAGAAGGCCAGTCACTGGCACTGCCAAGTATCATTGGCCTCAGAACTATGCAAGCACCATCAGATAGTAAATCAAGGAACCCCTGGCAACATATGAAGGAACCCTAGTTGGGAATGGCTTCATTAGAGGCGGAGAATCATACACTGTTTTTTTGGATCTGTAAAGGACTATGGCAGGAAGATTCCCTGAGTTCTTAGCTCCATCCACCAGCTGTATCCATTACTGTAGTTTAAATGTTCTGGTTAGAATGTTCATATTTCAGTCCCGTCTGTTAAGGGACATAGCAGGTCTTTAACGTTTGGGTTATAATGTTGTACACAGGAGGATTGGACACTTCACAAACCCAGGATAACCACTCCTACTACTAGTATTCCTTGTGTTGTTTCTTTTTTGGCTTCTGTATTAAGCCTAACTTGCTGTTTGAATTTAAGTATTTTTCTTCTTTTTTTTTTTTTTTGTTCAAACAATACTCTGCTTTATGTTGCTGTTGAAACTTTGTCTTTTCAGTTGCTGCTACCTGGTACAGTCATCCTAAGCCTGGCTGCATCTGGACCATGCAGGACTTGACATAGCCTTTCAATGGAACTTCACCGAAAAGGGGAAGGTCTGCTTGTTTGCCTCCCTTGAGCTGTTTGAGAGTCCCCAGTTCCTGTTGTTTTTTTTTCTTGAGCCTGTTCGCTATTGTTTGCTGTCCTGCCCACAACTCAGTTGAACTGCTTTTGGACTTCTTTAAGACTTCCTGTGTCCCTTACTGGACGATAAAGGAAAAACAGGATTTGTGTACTCACCGTAAAAACCTTTTTCTTGGCTTCCATTCAGCAGCACAGGTCCTACCGTTCTGTGTTTAATGATCATGCTCTCAGTAATTCTGGATACAAACTGAGGCATGCTGGTAGTTGGAGTGGTTATACTCTGGGCTAGGGTCTCCAAACTTCTTAAACAAAAGGCCAGTTTATTGTCCTTCAGAATTTAAGGGGCCAGACTGTGCCCAGGGGGAGTGAACAATGCCTAATTTTTGTTAACGGGGGAGAAGTAGTTGGTGTCAATGGGAAGAATAATGCCCCATTTTTGTTATCATTGGAATAAATGATTCATCATTGTTGCTGTCAGTGGAAGGAATAGTGCCCCATTTTTGTTATCATTGGAATAAATGATTCATCATTGTTGGTGTCAGTGGAAGGAATAGTGCCCCATTTTTGTTATTCGAATAAATGATTCATCATTGTTGGTGTCGGTGGAAGGAATAGTGCCCCATTTTTGTTATCATTGGAATAAATGATTCATCATTGTTGGTGTCGGTGGAAGGAATAGTGCCCCATTTTTGTTATTCGAATAAATGATTCATCATTGTTGGTGTCGGTGGAAGGAATAGTGCCCCATTTTTGTTATCATTGGAATAAATGATTCATCATTGTTGGTGTCAGTGGAAGGAATAGTGCCCCATTGTTGGTGTCAGTGGCAGGAATTATGCCTCAAGAGCCTGATAAAGACAAGCAAAGGGCTGCATCCAGCCCCAGGGCCGCAGTTTGGAGACCACTGTTCAAGGCTACAGTTTTTTGTTTACCAGTGTCCAGTCCTCCTGTAGACAGTGGTATATACCAAAGGTATAAGACTTTCTGTGTCAGTGGGCTCCAAAAAAAGATTTTTAAGGCAAATACAAGTATCCTATTTTGTTCACATAGTGCACTTGAAAACACAAGGCAACCCCCGTTACTGTGAACAAGCACATAATGACATTGGACCTGATACAAGTCACAATGGCAACTTATCTATTTCTGTCTTGACAGGCTCTCTTTAATATATTTCTTGTTTTGTTTGCCATACAGATACTGATACTGCTGATAGATTGTTTCTGCCCAGCTAAACCCAAGTATGAAGCGCTGAGATCAGGTAAGCGTTTTATATTACTGAATTGGGTAGCCTGACCTTCCAGCGCTTGCGCTGGCCATAGATTATTATTATACAGGATTTATATGGCGCCAACAGTTTGCTCAGCACTTTACAATATAATGGCAGACAATACAGCAACAATACAGTTCAATACAAGAGGGTTAGGAGGGCCCTGATCCTTGGAGCTTACAATCTAAGAGGGAGGGGCTAGTGGTACAAAAGGTAATAACTGTGGGGGATGGACTGGTAGGAGGAGTAGAAGATTCCATTATTAGCTGAGGGCAGGATAGGCTTCCCTGAAGAGATGGGTTTTCAGAGATCGCCTAAAAGTGAGCAGAGTAGGCGATAGTCTGATAAATTGGGGTAGAGAGTTCCAGAGGATGGGGGAAGCTCTGGAGACAAGCATGGGAGGAGGAGACGAGGGAGCTAGCAAGCAGGAGGTCATGGGAGGAGCAGAGAGGACAGTTTGGGTGATATTTGGAGACAAGATCGGTGATGTAATTTGGGGCAGAGTTATAAATGGCTTTATATGTTATTGTTAATGTTTTGAATTTTATCTGTTGGGCAATGGGAAGCCAGTGGAGGGATTGGCAGAGAGGGGTGGGGGACACTGAGTGGAGGCCAGTGGAGGGATTGGCAGAGAGGGGTGGAGGACTCTGAATGGAGGTCAGTGGAGGGATTGGCAGAGAGGGGTGGAGGACACTGAGTGGAGGTCACAGAGAGGGGTGGAGGACACTGAGTGGAGGTCAGTAGAGGGATTGGCAGAGAGGGGTGGAGGAGAGTGGAGGCCAGTGGAGGGGATTGGCAGAGAGGGGTGGAGGACTCTGAATGGATCAGTGGAGGGATTGGCAGAGAGGGGTGGAGGACACTGAGTGGAGGTCAGTAGAGGGATTGGCAGAGAGGGGTGGCTGATAGATAGATGCCTCCCTTAGCCTCGTGCACACAGGGCTTTTTTGCTTGTAGGGTGCATTTAATGCTTGAGTATTCATTTCAGTGGCCAGAATAAATTACAGGCGTACCTCGGTTTATGAATGCCTCGGTTAACGTAATTTTCGGTGTATGAATGAAAATCCATTGAAAATAATGCCTCGGTTTACAAATTTTTTTCGCAATACAAAGTGTATGTCGGCGCTGATTTTTAAATGCAATTGCCGGCCTTTTTTTTCCTTCACTATAGCTCACAGAATTAGCTGTCACTTTCCCTGGAGCTAAAGGAAAATTTTTGTTTCTTTTATCTGGGAAACAAACTAAAAGGAAACATTGTTTCTTTTAGCTGGGGGGAAAGTGATTCTCTGAGCTATAGTGCAGAAAAAAAAAAAAAAAGCCGGTAATTACATTTAAAAACCTGCACTGACCTATAAGGGTTTATTTACTAAAGTTGGTTCACTCAGTCTCCTGCACTTCTGCATGGAAACCAATCAGCTTCCAGGTTTTATTGCTTCATTGAACAAGCTGAGGTTAGAAACTGATTGGCTCCCATGCTCGGCTGCACCAGATTCTGAGCGATCCAGCTTTAGTAAATAAACCCCATAGTGACAGCGACTTTTTAAAAACTTTTTTCTGACCTCCTGAATGGATAAATTGGTTTTCAATGCATTCCAATGGCAAACCGCGTTTTCGATTTACTGATTTTTCACATTATGAAACGTCCCGGAGAACGCATTAAATTCATAAACCGAGGTACACCTGTATTTAGTCTGGCTAATTAAATGAATTAACGCCCAAGCACTTGATGCCTGTAAACAACCCTAAATGCTTGTAAAAGCATTAGACGCTCTGACAAGCGTCAGGCGTTTTTTCTGCCAAATGATGCTGCCAAGAGGAGGAGCGTTTTTAGAATGTCCTGTGTGCATGAGGCCTAAGGGTAACCTGGAAAGACGCATCTTACTGTCCTCTCTACTGTTGGAGCCTGCCCCATTATTTTTCTTTTTCTGCATATGGCAGACATAAATGGTGCACAAACCTTTTACTACTTTCTTTCTTGAGAGGAGGGAATGATTGACCAGGTTGTTGTGTTAACTTTTTAGGTTCAGTTCTCTTTAAGGAGGTTGTGACAAAGTATACAATTTTAAAGCTTGTGTAGGTAGGCAAATGTGGCGTGCATATGCATCGAGCTTGCATCTTGAGGTGCTTCATTCACAATATATTGTAAATCTCTGTTCCAAACTCCAAATACATACAGTCTCCCCAGTTTCAGGTGAAAGCTATTCTCAGCTTTTTCCTGCCTTACAAACCACACCATATAAAATGATGGAAGCTGCACTCCCTAATTCTATCTCATTGCAGAAAAAAACTTTCTGCTAAGAGTCCTCAGTTGACACATTTCACTTGAAAGTGCCCATTTATAGTCAGTTGGTGTATTTGTGCAATCATAGCAGCTTTAAAGTGTTAAACCCCAGACCCTGCATTCACTATATCCGGTCTCCCCGGACCCTGCGTTCACTATATCCGGTCTCCCCGGACCCTGCGTTCACTATATCCGGTCTCCCCGGACCCTGCATTCACTATATCCGCTCTCCCCGGACCCTGCGTTCACTATATCCGGTCTCCCCGGCCCTGCGTTCACTATATCCGGTCTCCCCGGACCCTGCGTTCACTATATCCGGTCTCCCCGGACCCTGCGTTCACTATATCCGGTCTCCCCGGACCCTGCGTTCACTATATCCGGTCTCCCCGGACCCTGCGTTCACTATATCCGGTCTCCCCGGACCCTGCGTTCACTATACCCGCTCTCTCCCCGGACCCTGCGTTCACTATACCCGCTCTCCCCGGACCCTGCGTTCACTATACCCGCTCTCCCCGGACCCTGCGTTCACTATACCCGCGTCTCCCCCCGGACCCTGCGTTCACTATACCCGCTCTCCCCGGACCCTGCGTTCACTATACCCGCTCTCCCCGGACCCTGCGTTCACTATACCCGCTCTCCCCGGACCCCGCGTTCACTATACCCGCTCTCCCCGGACCCCGCGTTCACTATACCCGCTCTCCCGCCCCGCGTTCCCCGGACCCCGGACCCCGCGTTCACTATACCCGCTCTCCCCCGGACCCCGCGTTCACTATACCCGCTCTCCCCGGACCCCGCGTTCACTATACCCGCTCTCCCCGGACCCCGCGTTCACTATACCCGCTCTCCCCGGACCCCGCGTTCACTATACCCGCTCTCCCCGGACCCCGCGTTCACTATACCCGCTCTCCCCGGACCCCGCGTTCACTATACCCGCTCTCCCCGGACCCCGCGTTCACTATACCCGCTCTCCCCGGACCCCGCGTTCACTATACCCGCTCTCCCCGGACCCCGCGTTCACTATACCCGCTCTCCCCCGGACCCCGCGTTCACTATATCCGCTCTCCCCGGACCCCGCGTTCACTACTTTTATATCCGCTCTCCCCGGACCCTGCATTCACTATATATCTGGTCTCCCACAGTACACAGAACATGGAAATGCATTTATTTTATTAAATATAAACTGCTAAATACCTTTTCTCATCAGCAGTATATAGCAGTCTTGTGGCTTCAGCTGAACACTGGTTAAAGCTTGTAGGAAGTTTTCTGTCTTCTCTAGGAGGATGAAAAATTCCTGACCTCTGTCTGGACCTGTGCTGATCACATGCACTCTTTCAAGAAAAAAAAAACCCTCTCTAGCAATACACACTAAACTGAGCATGTGCTGAAGGGCTATGGTCTCAGTCTGTCTTATTAGCGTGGACATTTGAACAAGAAGAGGGGCAGAGAAGACCTCCTTCCAACCTGCGTTTTCTGTTCTGCGGGTGCTTCAAGCTGCTGTTACATTTTTATTGATTTTAAATGGGGAGATAAGCAGTTCTGACATAAACAAAGCCTGGAACTTCTTGCCAAAGTAGGTTTTTTTTTTTTTCTTTTGCGCAGCCTGTCAAAGGGTTGGGTGGGTTTACCATCACTTCTGTCCTACAAATACAGCTGTAAGTCAGAGAACATTTCTGCACAGTATGGGGAAATCCATCATGGATCGTAGTCAGGAGAACAGGTGTCTGTCCTCATTCAGAGCTTTCCCCTTCACCTCCTGGGTGGTGACAACTGTCAGTTTCTGAATTTCCCTTTATAGTGACAACTATCCCCAAGATGGGAAGTGAAGTAAATCTTCAAAATGGGGCGCAACCCGTCCTTGCTCTCTTCAGTACACAAAAGAAACCTTTTTTGATTGTGGAATTTTACAGCCCAACTTTTGCTTCCCTAAAATTTATGAGTTAAAGACCATGCCTATTCTGACCCTTTTTTTTTTTTTTTTTTTTTTTTTTAGTGTGTAAAAATCAGTCTTAGAACCCCCAAACATTATATATTATTTTAAGCATAGGCCCTAGAGAATTAAACGGTGGTTGTTGCATTTTTTTTTATGTCATTAAGTATTTGCACAGTGGTTTTTCAAATACAATTGTTTTTGTTGGAAAAAATAAATTTTAATTAATTTAGATACACAACACCACAATATAATACCCAATTGTATAATAAAATATAAAAAGATGTTACACCAAGTAACTAGATACCTAACATGTCACGCTTTAAAATTGATCACGCTCCTGGAATGGAGACAAACTATGGTGCTTAAAAAACTCCATAGGTGGTGCTTTGAAAACCTTTGCAGGTTACCATTTAAGAGCTACACATGAGGTCTGGTGCCAGAATTATTGTAGAATTTTTCTGACGTTCGCGATAATACCTCACGTGTGTTGTGATATCTGTTTACATACTGAGGCGTGCGTTCTCCTTTGCACGTGAGCATGGTGGGATGAGGGTTTCTTTTTTTTTTTTTTTTTTTTAACACTTTTATTGTCACTTACAGGGAACGTAAACATCCCCTGTGATAAAATTATGTAGTGACAGGTCCTCTTTAGGTCTCATGCACACTGGATGTTACAAAAACACCAGTAGTGTTAGCTGTAGAATGCTGCATTAAAATGCAAGTTTTGTTGTGTTTTATAGCGTTTTTGCATTATTGTTTTTCAGCGTTTAGCCTTTTTTTTTT